TCCCGGACCGGGCCCCCTCCCCCCCCCGCACCGCCGGCCGCCTGCTCCCTCCTCCTCCTCTCGCCTCCCTCCCTTTTCCCCCTCCCCTCCGGCTCCGCCGCGCGGTGCACCAAGGGATTTGTAGTCTGCGCAGGAGCAGCTGAAAGGGGAGCTTAAGATCCTCTGGAACTTCAGTTCCCAGTAAACCACGGATTGGCGCAGGCGCAATAGACAGTTTTCCCCCAACCAGGGGAGTGGTGGGGCGATCCAGAGCCAGAGACGTACAGCGGAAGAGTGCGCACTGACTCCCGGGAAGTGTAGGCTGGGCGGGACCAAGAAAGTAGACGAAGAAGGGATTAGAACTCTCGGCCACCATACTGCCTCATTTTGTACCTTCTTTTTATCCCTCAGGGAACCGCCCCACTTCCGGCCAAGTAGACATGAATGCTGGGAGATGAAGTTCTCCTAGTGATAATGGCACCCTTCTCCCAGTATTTTTGCCTCTCTCAAATTTCACTTTACAGGATCCCACACACAAGTACAAACTCTGCAAGTGACAGCCGGTGAAAGACAGTCCTCTCACCCCCTCCCAAACATCTTTTTTCTGTAGTAACAAATTTGGATATGCAAACCTAAAAGTGGTCCTTCCAAACTTTCTCCCATAAGTACCCACAGTGAACACCACCACCCCTTTGTTTACATCGCAAGCCAATATACACACATATAAATCAAAGTTTCATGCGATAATGCTCACATTATTTCATTCATTAAAGAAAGCCCAGCTTTTTTCAGAGGGAAATAACATCAAAAAGTGTTTCTGTTTCTCTGACTTATACCCATTTCTTCTCCTTCCCACCACTGAAGTTCCTGACACTTGAAACAAACAGGAGGTGGAATGACACAGGGCAAAATTCAGTTCAGCTCGGTGGTTTCTTCTTTATTGATGTGCCTCCTACCTCCCCCCCGACAATGTTAATCCCTTCCATCTACCCCCCCAAAAAGAAGGTACTGAAAGGAAGGGAACCTGCTTGGGCAGTTAGAAAGGGAATAGAAACCAAAACAATCAACGGATGTGACAGAGATTGACAATCAAGAAGTCTAAAGCAGAGTGGGAATGAGGGCGAACGAGGGGAAAGAAAGGAGATGTACAGAGACTGTGTCCACCACTACCCCTCCTGCTGAGAGGGACAGGAGAAACAGCCTCAAACATTAAGTGCAGGTCCTGAAGAAGGAGATGGTGTTTTCGCCTGAAGGAGGAAGTAGATGTCAAGGAAGGAGCGCCACCTCTCCTTGTAGAATGGAACCCCCCACCTCAGGGACAGCAGCTTCACAGACCGTAGACGCTTTCATCACTGTAGGCGATGTATAGAAAGAAGTCTTCCTCGTGGTGCTCCTACAATGAAACAAGAAAGGGTGTAATGGCAACTTGGATTTAGTTACTTGAACTATCTACCACCCCCAAGACATTCCTCAAGGCTCATTCTTTTAGCCAAATGGTGGTGGTACACAGCCTTAAACTCTTAATCCCAGCACTAGGGGAGGTGGAGGCGGGTGGATCTCTGTGAGTTCAAGGCCAGCCTGGTCCACAAAGTGAAAGTGGCTCTTAAGACTAAGAAACCCTGTCTTGAAAAACCAAAACCAAAATCAAAACAAACAAACAATCATTCCTTTAAGCACAGCCTGGTAATTCCAGCAACTGGAAAGGAATGACAACTGGAAAGGAATGACAGTTAGAAGCATCCAAGGCAACTTAAGAAACTGATTCAAAATACACTTGAAGTTATAAGGTACTAAATGTAGTTCCTAGGACAAAAGGAATAAAAGAAGAACCATTCACTCGTATTTTCTGTGCTCCTTTCAGAAAGGCTGCCCTCAAATTCACTATGTAGCCAGGTGGTTTCCAAGTCAAGATGCTAATGCCTCACCGCCAATGTTTGTTTGCTTGTTTTCATTTATTTTATTTTTGGGGTGTATGTGTGTGCGTGTATTTGTTTGGGTTCTCTGGAATTTTCATTTAATCCCGTAGTGAGATAAGGTCTCACTATGTAGCTCTGGCTGGCCTCAAACTACCTATGTAGACCACGCTGGTCTCAAACTTACAGCGCTCTACCTGCTTCTACTTTCAGAGTGTGAGATTGAAGGTGTGCTTGATTGCACCCCACTTTCGGTGGTCTTATATTGTTTGTTTTCAGACAGGATCTCGATATGTCTCTGTGACTGATGAAGATAGCTTCAGAGATCACCAGTCTCTGCCTCTTAAGTGAAAGGGTTAAAATTGTGTGCACGGAGTGAGACAGGCTCCTCCCTCCTGAGGACTTCAAAGATTTAAAATGTGTACCACAGCACACCTGTTATTCAGAGTGGGACCTCAACCGGGTGTGGTGGCACACCCCTTTAATCCCAGCAATCCGGAGGCAGGGGCAGGCAGAACTCTGAGTTCAAGGCCAGTCTGGTTTACACAGCGAATTCCCACGACAGAGTTACACAAAGAAACCCTTTCTCAAAACAAAGATCTCAAACTGTTCTGACATCTTGGATGAGGGAAAGAGACTTGGGTCGGTGGGGTCCCAATCAGAACAGCTAACTCTACCTGCTGTTCGAATCCCAGCTCCCCAGGACTACATTGACATTTTAAAGCTACAAGCCAGCTAGTACAGAGAACTGCTGACCTTTACTTTCTTTTACTCAAGCTGTCCAGGACTCCTCTCCAAACATTCCTATTCCAAGGTACTATACCTGGTATAGCTGACCCATCGTGGCACTGGTGGGTGGAATAACATTGTTGACAAAGAAAAACAAGGCATCCTCAGCACGGAGATGAATTCGCTTCCGGATCAAGAAGTAGAATTGACCCACTGCCAAAAACAGGAGATGCAAGAAAGTCACCGCGGTCATCAGCACTTCCAGAAAGCAGCTGTCAGGTGAAACCTCCTTCCAGAGAGGGTATTCCCACCCACAGAAGGAACCTGCATCTGGGGGCTTGTTCCCACCTGTAAGATCTGAAGGCACCAGGTATTTCTTTTTGTCCAAATCTCCTATCCGAGCTTTGGGAGCTTTTTCCACTATCACCTGATGAAAGGAAGTTAAGAATGAGTAGACACAAAATACACAGCTATATCGATGAAGAACGCAAGCTATGATATTCCCTATACAGAGATGTACTACAATCTCATTTCTCTTTATCCTAACATACGTGATGCACGCAGCATTGAGTCCAGAGATCCTGGCCTCGCTGGCTTACCTAAATATTGAGTATTGATCACAGAACGGCACATCACAACTATTTTCATCAGAGAAACAGGATGACTAGTTTCGGTCAAACTCTACCTTAAATCTAGGTAGCTGAAAAGATGACCATGGTTGTCAAGCTCCCCAAGGCCTCCATTCTGACAAATGCCAAGGTCTCTCTCTCTCTTCCTGTCCACATCTCAGTCCCAGCTCTACTTCTACAAGCTTCTCGTCTCTGGTACCAAAAACAACAGTTTTAGACTTCTAACCCTACAATAGGGTGGAGCCTGACCTCCGCTTCCCCAGACTCAAGCCTATCTTGTGGCGACAACGTCAGCACCCTAAGCCTCGGCCCTGATCCTGGATCCTGTCCTTACCGGGACCCGGTCTGGGTATTTCTTTCGGATTTTCTCGCCCTCAGAGCGGCGCTTCTCGAACGGATGCTCCTCTTTGTACACGAACTTCATTCTCCCGAGAACCGGGCTGGACCGAGCTGGGCTGAGGAAACCCAGGGGGGGGGGGCCGGGATAGGGGGCGGCGGCGGAGGTGGCGACGGCTTCGACGAACAGACTCAGCGGAGCGATCCACGAATTTGCGCCACTTCCCTATTCACCAACCCCGCCCCCCGACCATCCGGAGCGGCCCCGCCTGCTGAAATACGCCACTAGCTCAACTTTCTAACGCCGCTGGCGTAGCCCCACCGGCTGCCTGGCCCTCTCACGCTTCCATCGTAACTGCTTTGGAATCAATTTGTGGGTTACGCAGATGACTTCGCAGAGGTTACTGTCGTTTCAAATCAACTGAAAACCCTTTCTCCGGTAGCCCCGCAGTTCAAAGCTGAGGACGAAATGAGGTAGTAGGTGGCAGTCATGAAATTTGGGTCTCCAAGTCTTTTCGTAAATTACGTAGGGGAAAGCAGACAATTACAAGTCTAGGTATTCACAAAACAGGTTGCTACGCTGAAGGCGGTTGTTGACACCAAAACAAAGTAGTACCAAGACGAGGATAGACTCCACAATAGAAGGGCAAAAAGAAATGGGGTTTGTAGACACGTACAGAACACCCAGGAATCGGGGTTGAGTGGACCAATAAAAACTGCGAAGTTCAAAAGATGGGGACTACGCCAATGCGGAGGAACACATTTTGTCACTGTGTAAAATGTCATGTGACCTAAGAAGAGGGCGGAGCATCACGTGGCGGGTACCAGAAAGTAGGCCCGGCTCTGGATAGGAGGTGTCAGAGTTCCGCACCAAGCTTACTGCAGGAGAGCCAACAGCCCATAGGCAGCGCCCTCTTGCCTGTCCACGTCAACCTCCCAGACCAAGCCCTGCCTTTTTCAGCTATGTATGCCCTTTGAGGGATCCAGGCTTCTCATCTTCAGCCTTCTATGTCCTACTCTAAAGTTGCTCTTCCATTGTTCTGCAGGGGACCCCCATCCTATTCCGGGGGGCCTTTCCTGCCAAACTACGTTGACATAAACTTCTTTATCCCTGTAATGAATCCCACTTCCCCACATCCCAAACAAGATCTTCCCCCTCTGCTTCAGGGACAGGACCGATGTGAACAAGTTCCCTCCGTTTCCAAAAACGTCAGAGAAGGACCTATGGCAGCTTTGGTTTCAAAGTTATAATGCATGGTTTAAAAGAGGAAGGAGAAGAAAAGAGAAATTTGATTACAGGTATCAGGGGAGTCGGGGGAAGAAAAACTGAGGAAAAGGAAGGGAAGGACAAGTCTGAGGAAAACCCAGACTCCCACCCGCAGCCCGGCCCCTGGAGCAGGAGTGAAGAAGTAGATCGGTTTTGTACAAGAGTTTTTAAAAAATCAAATCACAACAAAGTTGACTTGGCTTCTTTTGAGCCTCTGGGATCACCATGTCTGTCACTCAGACCAGTCCTGCTTCCCCACCAGGCAGTTTCAGCTCTCCAGGGCTTTCACCTGCCCTGCCCGGCATTTCCGTGGAGCGTGAACACGAGTGAGGCTGCTTCACAGTCTAGCCCATGTGTCCATCCAGACTCCATATCCGCGGGCAGAGAGGGATGGGAGGGGCAGACCCTGCCCAGGCAGTCCTCACATTGGACAGGGCAACAGACGGCATCCCAAGAGTTCGCCCTCCCTTCCCCCCCACCCCAACTCAGGTGGAGGGGGAGCAGCTGTCACCACAGCCTATGTTGGTGAAGGTTTCGGCTCAGCACAGATCGGACGTCAGCAGTGAACCTGGAATGACAGTAACGTGCATTGGTGGAGTACCTTACAGCTGATCCACTCACTACGGACCTCACTGGAGTTAGGATGGAACTGAGTACCACTTTCAAACAGTGAGACGGGCTCAGTTTGAGAGAAGCCAAATGGCTTAATGCTCTGGCGTTAAAAGGGCCTGGCCCAATCACTGAAGTTCTGAAGGACTCTTCTTCTTTTTAATAATTAAGATCCCCCCCCACCTCTTTTCCTTGGGAACCCAGTGTTGCTGGATATGGTGGTGCACCTGTAACCCAGCCAGCCCTTGGAAGGCTAAGGCAGAAAGCCAACTGCCAGGCCAGCATAGAAAGAATTTCTTTAAAAAAAAAAAAAAAAAAAAAAAAAAAAAAAAAACAACTTTTAAAAAGAAAAGAAAATCACTTCCCTTACCTGAGGGCATCCAGCATTGGAAGAAGGTTGAGAAGGGCTGTGTCACTGGGGTCACTGAACCAGGATTTGATAGGGATGGCATTGTCTATGGTGGGAAAAATTACAGTTGAGATGAGGAAGAATTCAAGAACCTGTGAGTTTTTCCTTAATATTATTACTTAAAAACCCATACACCTCACCCACCAAGTCATAGCTGCCTAAGTAAACCCTTCTTTCTCCTCAAATGTCAAACTGAATGATTAATAGGCTTCACAACAGTGGAGGCTAGAATTCTGGTCTACCTGCCATTGTGCCTCACTTGAATTTGATAGGGAAGTTCCATTTATAAAACAGACATATGAGCATTGGTACCTCACCTGAATTAGAGAAACAACTTAGATTCAGATCTGTAGTACAGCAGGGAATTCAAACTCTGGGACTAGGACCCAGGTCTTCTGCCTCCTAGCTCCTTATATTCAACCCCTCAAGGAGGAGTTAGGGATATAGCTAAATAGTATAGTGTTTGCCTAGGAATTTAATGTGAGGCCCTGGGTTCCATTTCCAGATCTACTAAACTAAAGAGTCAGGTCATACCAGCCTGTTATTTAAGGAGACCTTGTCTCAGAAATAAAAACTAATAAAATAAGCCAGGCAGTAGTGGCACATGCCTTTAATCCCAGCACTTGGGAAGCAGAGGCTGGATCTCAGTGAATTCGAGGCCAGCCTGGTCTACAGAGTGAGTTCCAGGACAGCCAGTGCTGAAAAACCCTGTCTCAAAAAACCAAAATAATAATAGTAATGACAATAATAATAATAAAATAAAAACTAAAATAGTCCTCTGAACCATTTCCTGGTCCTGCTAGAGCCACCACCTGTCCCCGTACCTGGGTGGCTCCTATAAGCCCCGGGGGAGTTATCCAGGATCACAATGCTGGAGAGGTCACTGTGGACCACAGAGAGGTCTTTGATGTAGCTGCCCAACTCCAAAGTGCAGTGCTGAAAAGCAGAGGATGATGTAGCATACACACACCCATCCCCACTCCCACCTCCTACCCAGGACCCAGGTAACCTGCCTCTCAAACCTGCTTCTGGCTCCTTACCTGTCTATAGTATCTCCTCTTAAGAATGCTTCTGCTATTGTCCAGTTTATCTGCCACAGCAGAGCCGTAAATTTCCATGCTTGCTGTAAACACCACAAGCTCATACCACTGGCTTACCTGAAGTAGATTGGAGAGGAATACAGATGTCATATAAAGTAATCATTCATTTAGACATAATAATTCTTTGCCAGCCTAGACCTTCCAGCCTTCAAGTAAATCAAATGTCTATGAAAATACAAAATAATTTTGAACCCTCCACTAATCTTCCAAACTCAGTGTCTGAGGCAACCAACACCCTCCAGAGTTGAAGATATAAACACAAAACTGCAGGGTGCCTATGAAAGAATAGAATTATAAAACTGCAATAAATATACCCCGGCTACTCAAAGCCATTCCCTTACTTCCCTACAGATTCTCCTTTACAAAACTGCCCTTACCCTCTGTCCTAGTTGGCGACTTCATTGATATAATTAAATATTGACCAAAGTCAACTTGGAGAAGAAAGAATTTATGTCATCTAATAACTCCCAGATCACACCCCATCACTGAGGGAAGTCAAGGCAGGAACCTTAGAGGTAGGAACTAAAGCAGAGACCACAGAGGAATGCTGCTTACTGGCTGGCTGGCTTTCTGCAGCTTGTTCGGTGTCTTCTTACCCAACACAGGACAACCTGTCAGAGGTAGCACTGCCCTCACTAGACTGTGCAACTACCAAGTTGTCCTCTTCTCCAATCACAAAGACACAGCATCTCCTAGGTTCTTAGTTTTGCAGGTATAAGATAATTCGTTACTATTTTAATATAAACTAAAATACGTTCTTATAATACATATCTATCCTATCAGTTCTGTTCCTCTTGAGGTTCCTATTACAAATCTGAAGCAGAAAATGGGATCCTGCTGTAACAGACCTGACCATGCTGATCTGAGGACAACTGGGGAAGCATCTGAAACTTCTGAAGCTTATTGCTTCACGGGCTGTTGTGGGGAGTTCAGATGACGCAGAACTATGCAAAGGAGGGAAGCCCGGTCTGGAATGTTTCAGAGTGAAACCAGGACTACCAGGGCTGTTTATGTAATACCTTGGATTAAGGATCACAATCTGTAGATACAGCACCCACATCAGGCAGCTCACAGCTAGCTGCCTGTAACTCCAGTTCTAGGTGCTCCAACACTAGGCCTCCATGGGTACCAGGCATACATGTGGTACAGACACACATGCAGGCACTCTCATATATACCTAAAATAAAAATAAAACAACTCGTCTAAAAAGAACCTATGGGCCGGGTGGTGGCGGAAATATTTCCTCAGGATTAGCACACAGAAGTTATGGTCTAGAAATTATGGCCTAATTAGGGCTGCATCTTGGTATGTATTTCAAAGTCTTACATCAAACTACTGGTTTTAGCAGCATGAAGCCTCCAGAATTAAAGGGATCATGGAGAAAAGTTGAGGCTTGGCACTATGAAAGGCCAGGAAAGGCTACAGATGAAGATTCAGCCTCAGTTACAGTGGAAACCCCAGGACTAAGAGGTCATGAGGTGAAGCTCAGGCTTGGTACCATGGGACAGAGTCAGAATTCCTAAAAAGACACTGGGAGGCAATTGGTCAAAGTGCAACCCCAGTTGCAGCAGAGACCCTAGCATGTTGTTTCTGCCAGGACCATGGGATGACCACGGAGACAGTGGCTGATGTGGAGCAGAGTCGGCTGTATGCTACCAATGGCAGAACTGGAGCAGCGAAGCACCCAAGTTCTTTGGAGCCCTGGAGACCATAAGTGAGTACCAAATGTCAGACACCGAGCTGAAAGATTCAATTTACACCATTAGATGTTGGTGTCGCTAGGATTTGATTGTAACTGCCCTGGTTCTTCCCTCTTGTAATAAGAAAGTAACCTGGATGAGAGACTTTATTACAAAATGTGTGCTATGGCTCTATGAAATGAATAAATCAAAGCATCATAAATTGGTTTAAAAAAAAGAAAAAAAATAACCTGTTCCAGGCAATGGTGGCACATGCCTTTAATCCGGGGGTTGGGAGTGAGAATGGAGGTTATAGTCAGAGGCAGGCAGATCTCTGTGAATTGGAGGCCAGCCTGGTCTACAGAACAAGTTCTAGGACAGCTACAGAAACCCTGCCTCAGGGATAAAAAAGAAAGTAACTTGTTTTGTGATTTTAAAGGAAGTCACAGTTAACACAGTTAAGAGACTCTGAATATTTTAAAGAGAATTTTTTTTAAGAAAGCCAAATGGATGGAAGACTAATTTGTATCAAATTATGGCTGTCTATATTCATAGGTGACAATATGGCCCTCAGAGAATTTTTTTTCCCTCTTTTATTTCTGAAACAGGGATTCTCTGTGTAATAACTCTGGCTATCCTAGAACTTGCTTTGTAGACCAGGCTAGCCTCACAAAGATCTACCTGCCTCTGCCTCCTAAATGTTAGGATTACAGGCATGGGATATCATTGCTCAGCTGAGACTTTGAACTTTTAAGTGTTAGGTTTTTTAAAGACTGTGGGGCTTTAAAGTTATATTTTATATATATATATGAAACTTAGGGGAATAAGTTACAGTTTTGGGAGATTTTTTTTGTTTTTGTTGCTGTTGTTTTGCTTTTTCGAGACAGGGTTTTATCATTTAGCGCTGGCTGTTCTGGAACTCACTTTGTAGGCCAGGCTGGCCTCAACTCACAGACATCCACCTGCCTCTGCTTCCCGAGTGCTGGAATTAAAGGTGTGCGCCACCACCGCCCAGCTAAAGTTACAGTTTTTAAGATTGATTTATTTGAATATAGGGATGTGTCCCTGCATAAGCTTATGGCTTTTGGTTTTTGTGGAATTTTTTTTTTTTGTTTTGTTTTTTCAAATTATGTCTCTGTGGGTGTGGGTATTTACATTTGAGTTTAGGTGCCCATGGATGCCACAGGCATCAGATTAACTGGAGCTGGAGTTGTAAGTAATTGTGAGTCACCTGATGTGGGTCCTTGTACACACCAGGTCCTCTGAAAGAGCAACAAGTGCTATCCACCACTACTCATCTCTCCCACCCAAGACTATGGTTTTTAAAGGGGCGTGTTATTTTGTCAAGTGACAAGGGATAGACTGTGATGTTTGGTTTTAATGCCAACTTGCCACAAATTAGAACCACCAAATAGACCGCTCAGTTGAAGAACTGTCCTGATTGCTTTAAGTAATGTGGGAAGACCCACCCTGAGATTTAGTAGAAACTTCTGGTAGCAGCTCAGGTAAGAAAGCATGATAGAAGGAAGATAATTTGCCTCTTTCTCTGACCTTCCCTCTTGCCACCATGCTGGCTTACCCTGCTGCTGCAGCTGCTTCCCTCACTGATGTTACACCACATTTCCAAGCATCTATCTTCAACTAAGGACTAGCAGCTCTGCAGAAACCTTCCAAGTTTTTAGCACCAGATTGGAACTGTTGAGATATCTGCCTCATGGACTGAGAAAATACCAAATTGTCAGCCTCTCCAGTATAAGACAATTTCTGGGACTGCTCCAACTGCTAGGGTACCCAGCCTCAAGAACTGAGCATCTATCTACCAGGTTCTTAGCCCTCGGATATGAGCAACTCATTACTATTTTATTGTAAGCTAAATAATATGTATCTCTATCTTTGTCTTCTATTGGTTTTGTTCCTCTAGAGAACCCTGACAAATACACCAACTTCTCACCCTCTTCTCCAAATCCCTAAAGCCCTGAACTCCACAATCATCCTTTCATCAGGGTGCCCCCATTAGCTCACACACTCACCACTTCTAAGAAGAAATCCACATGTGGCCTCTTATGTACAAAAAACCGGACAGGATGTTTGTCTATTACCACCTGCAGAGGAACAGGGAAAAGATGAGGGACGTCCTAAGCACCACCACACTGACCTTGCCCCATGCCTACCACCTGCTGCTTTCCTCCTCCTGGCTGATCCTGGTGCCAAGTCTTGCCAAGCCCTAACCCTTAAGACTGGGAAAGAGTTTATGTCTGGACACAGTAAGAGCCATAAGTATTTCATAGCCTCACACACCTTGAGGATGAAATCGGGAGGTGTTCCAGGCCTCACTGTGGGCCGCAGGACCCCGTCATGGTGAGAGTGAATAAGTGTTTCATCCAGATCCAGCACGAGGATCTTCTTCTTCACCTGGGCTAAACCACAACGGGAAGGCATAACACCAACGACCTCAGCCCAAAGCTGGAGTCGACTTCACCTTTGGGTAGCCTTCCCATCCAACATACTCACCTAGTCGATTCCGGGATAAAGGAGATAAGGGAAGGATATCATATCGAACAGTTTGATACTGAATTACCTAAGGATAGCAAAAGAAAGAAGATTAGAACCCCTCATAAGGAAATCTTTCCAGACAACAATAATAGCAAATACTGAGCATTTATCATATGTTGGGCACTGTATGTAAGATTCAGGACCTAATATATAATCCTAATAGGGACAGAGGTAAAGTTCAGTGGTAGAACACTTGTCTAACATGCAAGAGACTCGAGGTTCAATGCCCAGCACCATAAAAACAAAATAAAACTCAAGTAACACTACAATTATCCTTGTTTAATGGATGGTCAGATAGGCAGCAAAGACTAAATACCTTCATGCCTAGGACTGCACAGCTAAACTTAATTAAAAAGAAAACTCCATGAGAACATGAATTTCCTCTCAGTCATGCCTATTTTTTTCAGGGCCTTAAAAACTGTAGCAAGGATAACGAGTTAATAGCAGAATGTGTCCTCTGACCATGGTATTCTGCTACACTGAACAAAGAAACACACAGGACCCCACCTTCACCTCAAGGGTTCTTCATGGCCATTCCTGTCATCTCTCCTGGGAACCAAGAACCTCAGGCTCTTAATGAGCAGAGAACTGGACTCCAGAGAGGAAGCCTTTGGATCCCTGATGGGAACAGTAGATGAGGGAATCCAGGGGTTGTCAGGTCAGCTAAGTTCCTCTGGCTAGGGGCCACCACGACTATTTTAACCAGCCACCTGTCCACTTCTGTTTCCACTAGCCAAGTCACAAGTTGTAGTGAATACCCGAGAGTCTCTACCCTGGTACCCAGAGCAATCGAGAGACACTGTGAGGTCCCACTGCCAACATGACAGGACAGAGAGAAGGCAAAAGTGAAGCAAGGGCTGAGAGAGAGGTGAATAGGGACAAGGACATCACCCCTGTGCCTTCCAACTCTGCTATCCAAGGCTTCTCTAGAAACTATTTCCTAATCCCCAGAGCTTCTGCGCAAGCCTGGCAATTCCCTCCTCTGCTCTTTCCTAACATACAAATGTTCTCCAGTTCGTTCCTAGGCCCTAAGCCACACATTCCCTACTTGAGAACCAAAAGGCCTTCTCTTCTTTAGTCCCAAGGCATCTGCCCTTCTTTTCTCCCTGAATCTGTGATGAGGGCTGAAACAGCTCGGGTGTCCTGCCCTGCTATCTCGGGTTGCACATGCTGGGCATGTAGGGAATGCTCCAAGTAGCTGCCAGAAAGGGTGTGGGGAAGAAACCAGACTAGAAGGGAAGGGAGGACAAAGGGCTGTTGGGTCAGTGATGTCCAGAGGAGAGCAATTTAGGAAGTAACTGGTCTTCCAATACATGGACTAGAGCACTATTCCTAACACTCAGAAGAATAAAATGAGCTGGTAGAAGAGGGAGGATCCTCAGGACAAGGTCAGAAAGAAAGGATGAGCAGAAGTAGGAGTCACCTTGCACACCCCCAATCTTTCATGGATCCTACCACTCTTAGGAGACTAGGTGTGCTTACAACCACGACCACCACCCAGAATAAAAATCTTCACCCCAAACCGGAACACAGAAGAACTACAACAGACTGCTAGGGAATGAATGCAAGTGCAAGGCACGCTCCCAAAGCAGTCATGTCTACTGCCAGTACCAAAGTCTGTCTGGGGGTTCTCTTGACCTCGGCTGGCAAGAGTCACAAACAGTCCACTCATTCTTCCCGAACCTGACCTTAGGAGATGTGCCCCAGGGGTGACAAAAACCTAGGGGCACATTCACCAAGTGATGTTATCTGAAATAAATTTTCCTTGGAGAAAAGTTTGAGGGTGAGAACCCAGAGACGCTTGGGTTCATCCCAACAGCCTCTACACTCCAGGTTTCTCTTCCTAACTGCTAAGAGTCTCCCGGAGAAACATGCCCACCTTCAGACGCAAGCTCTACAGCTAACAGCCAAGTCTTCTAACGAGACACTCAACTTGAGAGTGCTGCCTCTTACAACGAAAGATGCTCATTATAAAAACCTCTTTTCCAAGGCCCAGGGTCTCAACAAACACGCTATAGGTGGTCAAAGACTCTTTGGAGGAGTTCCTTCACAACCAAGTTTGCCCCAAGTTCCCATCCCCTGCTACAAATGCCCCTACACACACTCACCACTGACAAAGGAGCCCGGCCCTTTCACAGCAGGGTCTTTCCAGAGCCCACAGCAACAGTTCTGGCTACCAGCAAACAGGTGTTCCCTGCCTCTTGCTTTCTTTAGCAACAACTTCACCTTTCTTAAGGAGAGCACCGTTCTAGCCCCCAAGAGCTGCCAAGTGCTATCCCATCTGGGCAGATGAAAAAAGAAACCAAAACCACCACAGATCTTGGTTCTTTTCTAAGGGTCCAAATCCTCCTTAAAGGTGCTCTACTTCTCCAGTGGGTAAAGCTCTGGCCAAGTCTCCCTTCCTAGGCCCAAAACAGGGGCCCAACATTATCCAAAATTCCATGAGCACCGAGGACAGAGGTCCCCACCACTGCCAGCAGCCACACTAACTCACCGTGCGGATCTGCCTCCGCAAAAGGTAAATAAAGAAGCTCCAGAGCTTGGCGGCGAAGGCCACGAACGTGCGCAGCCCCAGCAGACACTGCGTCCGCATCATCCCGATGACCCCGGCACCGCCGGCCCCGGGGCCCCCGCGGCCCAGCTCCGCCAGCCCCCCGGGGGCAGCCCCCCGCCGCCGGGAGGGGGAACGGGGGCCCCGAGCGGCAGGAGAGGCTGCAGAGATGGGCACGGAGTGGGTGACTCAGAAAGCCACCCCCAGCGAAGGGAAAGCCCAGCGGAACCGGGAGCTGGGGGACTGGCGTGGGCAGCCCGCAGGGGCCCACATGAGCGGGAAGTGGCACCGATGGCTTCGCGTGGGCTGCAGGCCGAAACAGGTCGGGCTAGGACGGGGTCCTCCGAGACCAGGAGGGAAGGGGATGGAGAATTGGGGGAGGGGGCAGTGGGGGAGGGGGCTAGGGAGAAGGGAGGGAGGGAGATGGGAGGGGAAGGGGGAAGCGAAGGGTGGCCCTCTGCGCAGGCGCGCTAGGGGTCTGCCCCGGGAAGGGGGCGGGCGGGGGCAGCGGCGCGCGACGGGCCACGACGACTCTTGGGGCCTCTGAGCGCTGGAACTAGGAAGGAGGGGGAGGGGGAGCCGAAGGGCGCGGAGCGCTGGGCCGGAGTGGCCTCCCCCTCCCCGAGGTCGGGGTCTCTTAGCCGCTAAGGAGCGGGGCTGCAGCCTCTGCAGCTGGGCTTCCCACTCTGACAGGCGCCATTTTACCGCCCAAAGGGCTCCCTCCTCCTCTCTTCCCTCCTCCTCTTCCCCGCTGACTGTACTTCCGGTAATGACGTGTTTTCACTTCCCCGGGATTGATGTTCCTTCAACTCCTTCTGACGAGGGAGGGTAGAGTTAAGGAAAGCGGAGCCCTAAAGAGGGCTGCAGCGTTGCGCACGCGCGCGGGGTGACTGCTGGGCGGGCCCTGGAGCGGAGCCTCCGAGGGTGTGGGCGGGGCCGAGTGACGTCATTTGTCCCCTGGTTCGGACGTCTTGGGGAGTGGGGCTCGTGCGGCCCCAGTCCCCATCCCACTGACAACTGTTCCAACGGCCCCTCTCGCCCCTGTCGTAGCGCAAGAAGACTGAGGATGCCATCTCCACGGCTGTGCGCAGAGGCTCTGGAGCGGCCCATCCGAGGGCGCCCCCGCCCCGCGAACGTGGAACATTAAAAAAAAAAAAAAATAGACCCTTGGCTCCAGACTTTGGGGACCTTGAATGGCGGAAGCAATCGTAATCGTCCCGCCTCCTTGGTAGTGACGACATCAGAAAGCGTCCGAAGACGTCAGAGATGCTGGACTCGCTGTTGGCCAGCGGTGGCTTGGTGCTCTTGCGAGGTGAGGCTTGGAGACGCGCGGGGAGCCTCGGGCCTGGCTGAAGGGGCGGAAGTCTTGAGGACCCTCCGGGGATCCCTGGCTCGGGGTGGTAGTCGCGGTGGATTATGAAATCGGAGACGTCAGGGCTCTGTGGGATTCACACCTGCTTGGCTCTCTACAGATTCCGCGGAGTGGGAGGGGCGTAGTCTCCTAAAGGCGCTTCTCAAGAAATCTGCACTTCGGTGAGTTATCCCGGGGCTGCTCCTGGTCCTTCCCGGGAAGGGACCTGGTGCCTTCAGTCTACGACATATTTCCCTCGTCTCTGCTTTAGTGGGGAGCAGATCCACGTTCTGGGCTGTGAAGTGAGTGAGGAAGAGTTTCGCGAAGGTTTTGGCTCTGACGTCAACAGCCGGTAAGTGTAATTAGAATGGGTTTCATTCGGATCGCAGTTGGCAAGGGCCGACTTTTCCACAGAAGAATGGACTCTCGGATTGTGTGGAAATGGGGTCGTATGACTTGGAACAGTAGAAGTTATAAATATGACTATCAAGGGTCTAGGGACGTTAAGCCCTGGTGGCCAGCTTGACAAAGGGATACAACACCGATGGAAAAGGGACATCCTGAGGCTATTGCTCATAAACAAAAGAGCAGTAAATTCAGATATTTTCTGGGGTGACCTATGAAGATACTTTCCTGTAAGAGCGTTCTGGCTTTAATGCCTGCAGGTTAGTCAACCCAGAAGCTGCCGTTTCTCCTATAGTGATGTCATCTGTCATCAGTGTCCTTGCAGTCGCTTTGCTCTGAGCCTTATTACAGTCTTCAGGGCTACAGATGCAAGAATTGGATTAAGAACACAAAACACAGCCCGGCAGTGGTAGCACACACCTTTAATCCCAGCACTCGGGAGGCAGAGGCAGGTGGATCTCTGTGAGTTCCAGGCCAGCCTGGTCTACAAGAGCTAGTTCCAGGAGAGGCACCAAAACTACAGAGAAACCCTGCCTCGAAAAAACAAAAAACAAACAAACAAAAAAAGACAAGACAAAAGAGCATGCTAACTCTAAAGTATAATAGGCTAAAGTAACCTTTGAACAAAACTTTTTTTCTTTTTATTTCTTTCTCCCTCGGAAAAGGACTCTGTTACGCTTTTTTAGGCAGTGATCTCACGTGGCCTAGGCTGCCCTACAACTCACCCTGTCCCACAATAGCCTCCAGCTCTCATCGGTCCTAGGTCATCCTTCCTCCTGTTTGTTATGATTATGTTGCAAGCCACATTCAATTTATAAAGCCCTGCCCTCGGAAGGCAGATGCGGGCAGATCTCTGTGTGGTTGAAGCCAGTCTGGTCTGTATAGTGTGTTCCAGGCCAGTCAGGTTTACATAGTGAGACTGTGTTCCTAAATAATAATTTTATATATATATATATATAAATGTAAAACAAAGTAAGCATCATTTTAATAGGCTCAAATAGTTGCAGAGTTATTTTAATGATTTTGTCCTCGGGCCCCTTCCATGATTATATGCTAAAAAGAAAAACTGACTTTACATTTCTTTTCTTTTTTTAAAGATTTATTTTTATTTATTATGTATATAATGTTCTGTCTGCATGTGTCCCTGCAGGCCAGAAGCTGGCACCAGATCTTATTAGAGATGGTTGTGAGCCACCATGTGGTTGCTGGGAATTGAACTCAGGACCTCTGGAAGAACAATCAGTGCTCTTAACCTCTGAGCCATCTCTCCAGCCCTATGACTTTACATTTTTTTGGATTTTTCTTTTTTAATGTTATGTATTTTGCCTCCATGTATATATGGGTACCATGAGCATGCCTTAGTGCCTGCAGAAATCAGAAGAGGGTGTTGTATCCTCTGGAGCTGGAGTTATACATGGTTTGAATTACCACCAAATCAGACCCTCTACAAAAGCAACAACTGCTTTTAACCTGCTGAGCCTGCTCTCCAGCCTCTCAGGACAAGATGACTTTCAAATGACTAGCGTGTCTACAGTACTGAAGTGAGTGGAATCTAATTCTGAAATTGAAGTAGTGGAGAATGATACAGTATGAAGACGGACGTACCAAGCCTTTCATCCCGTTTTCATGATGTGTAGAGGTTCAGGAGAAGAGGTAGTGTTTTTAGCAAAAATGATCGTGAGAGCCGGGTGGTGGTGGCGCACGCCTTTAATCCCAGCACTCGGGAGGCAGAGGCAGGCGGATCTCTGTGAGTTCGAGACCAGCCTGGTCTACAAGAGTTAGTTCCAGGACAGGCTCCAAAACCACAGAGAAACCCTGTCTTGTAAAAACCAAAAAAAAAAAAAAAAATGATCGTGAGATTTCTGATTGTGGTGGCTTCTTTTTGGTTTTTCGAGACAGGGTTTCTCCTTGAAGCCCTGGCTGTCCTGCAACTTGTTCTGTAGATCAGGCTGGCCTCGGACTCACAAAGATTCACCTGGCTCTACCTCCTGAGCATTGGGATTAAAGGCATGCACCAACAACACTTGACAAAATTTTTTAATTAAAAAAAATTAATTTTTAGATTTCTGTAAAACATTTCTAGATAGGGCTTCTCAAACTTTTTTCAACTGTGGTCCCTTATCACCTGAGAAGTTTTTATTTAATATACAGTATTAATGTACAAATTAAATAGTTACTGATAAATCACTGATGGTGAATGAAGCTCTGTGGTAGGGCAGCATCATTTTTTATAATTCATTATATTTTGTGTATATTGGTATTTTGCTTGTATGTATGTGTGAGAGCGTCAGACTCCCTAAGCAGGAGGTGTAGGTACTGAGTTCTCTAATGGTGCTTAATTCAATCATAGAGGCCAGGCTTGCATCAGCACTAGCTGCAGCGGATTGATGGGCTTGTCCTAAAAACAAAAGGAGCAACAGAATAACGTATGAGAAGGCATGAGAGGTCAGGTAGATAAAAAGGTCTTACGGAGCACAATAGAGGTTTAGATGTTATGCCAAGGACAGTTGGGAGGAGAGTTAGTCACACCATACCTCTTAGAAACACTAGTCCATTGATTACCGTGTAGAGAATGTATCAAAAAAAAAAAAAAAAGGCAGTTTGGAAGTGGAGATTAGGCAGGAAGTTAGTGCAGATTCAGGGTCACTCACTAGGTCCATGTGTACTGAATACCAGACCAGGAGCTATGCTAAGTAAGACACTGGTGACAGCAGTGGATGAGACAGACTGGTTCCTGCTCCAGTAAATCTTAGAAAACAATGGGAAGAAATGACAGAACACTTGTGTGTGGCAGAATCTCTAGAGGAAAGGGGGGTTTTGTTGTTTGTATTTTGTTTTGTTTTGTTTTTTTTTGAGACAGGGTCCCACTACATATCCCTGGCTGGCCTGAAGCTTGCTATATATACCAGGCAGACCTTGAGCTCACAGAGATTTGCCTGTCTTGACCTTTTGAGTGCTAGGATTATAGACTTGCCCCATGCCTACTTTGGTGTGATTTTTGTTTTTCAAGATAGGGTTTCTGTGTGTATCCCTGGCTGTCCTGGAACTCACTCTGTAGACCAGGCTGACCTCAAACTCACAGAGATCCGCCTGCCTCTGCCTCTGGAGTGCTGGGGTTAAAGGTGTGCACCACCACCCGGCCAAGATCTATTTTCTAATATTGTGCATGTGTATGGGTATGTGCACATGAGTGTAAGTGCCCATGGAAGTGAGAAAAGGGGATCGGATTCCCCTGAAAGATGAGTAAGTAGTTGTGAGCCTAGTAGGAACTGAACTCCAGTCCTCCAACTCTAACCCCAGAAGGGGAGCTTAGAACAATTGTCAAATGAACTTTGAAGGATAGAATTGCCAGTTAGGTGTCCCTGGACAAGGTTCAAAGTCAACCTTAGAACTTAGGTTATGAGACACCAAAGTCTGCTGTCAATCACTAATTTCTTTCAGTAGTTAGCTTTCATTAGTATATAAGGTATTGATGAGAATTAAGGGCTCGGTGGTGATGGCACACACCTTTAATCCCAGTGCTTGCGAGGCAGAGGCAGGTGGATCTCTGTGGTTTACAGAGTGAGTTCCTGGACAGCCAGAATGGTTATGCAGAGAAACCCTGTCTTGAAGAACTTGAACAATGAATGAATAAATTTGAAAAAATCAGGAAGAAATTTAAGGTTGTAACATGTCTTCCATTTTTCCTTTATAGGCTGGTTTACCATGACCTCTTTAAAGACCCTCTTAACTGGTCAAAAACTGG